CGACACGGTTTTCCTACCGTTTTCACCAATATCATGTCCATTATCTGCTTCATGACTTTCTTGTTCCTCACCATTGTTTTCCATACCGATTCCACCAGTTTCACGCTGGTTACCTGCTTCACGATTTTCTTGTTCATCGCCATTGTTTTCCATACCATTTCCAACATTTTTATGTGCTTCGGGAATTTCTTTTTCGACATTTTGCTTTCTTTCAATTTCATCACTTACGTTAATATCTTTCTCGCGTTCAAAATCTATGTCAGAATCATCCGAGAATTTATCTCTATTTTCACAAAAGTTGTCATATTCTTCCATTATATTCTTGTGCTCTAATTGTCTTTCAATATCATGTTTAGAAATCTACAAATGTAATCAATTAAAAAAAACCTTCAAATATAAAATATATATTAGAATGATAAAAAATGCTAAATATGAAAAATTATTGTTTTAAAATAGGTATTGAGAAAGAAATTTGATTACATTACTTTTAAAAATTTTATGTAAATAAAAAAATCGGATTTTTTAAAATAAATTTGACTTTTATTATTTCTATGAATAATCTCCAAGTTAAGTAACTTTGTCAATATTTGAATAAGATATCTCTACGTTAAGTTAACTATAATTAAGTAATTTTGTCTATATTTAAATTAGATATCTTTAAAAAAAATTATTTTCATTATTGAAGTAAAATTTTAATTGCTTATTAAATAATAAACGGTTTTTAAATTATTTGGTCTTATTTTAAAAGTGATTTTATGCAGAATAAAGTTACGTATAAGTGAAATCGTATCATTTTTTTCCAAATTAAAAGTGCAACTCGTAAAACTTAGTAGTAGAAATATTTGAAAAATTAAAAATGATAGGGTAACTGTAGTTCATTCTGCTGATTTTTAGTGTAGGTTAACTTTGCAAAGCTTGTCTAAGCTCATATGTAAACTAAATATCGTTATTTCAGTTACAGGTGAAAGTTTTATTATTAAATTTTGTTAATAAAATAAAGTTTAGTTTATTGTGTCACTCCCTTTATTTAAAAATATAATTTAAAAAATAAATAAAATAAACTAACATTAATAAATTAATCCAATGCACATTTTTCTTGGCTATTTCTTAAAACTGCAGCAATTGTGTCACCCTCAGGAATACACATAGTCACCCAATATGTAAAAGATATTATTTACATTTTTCAGGGAAATTAAATAAAACATATTTGTTCTAGTTTTATGCATTATTATTTTAAGAAAAAAATAATTTTAAAACTTTTGAATATTTTTGGTACAAGTTTCAAGAGTTGTATTTTTGAAGAAATTAAATTACACAATAATACGTAATAGTTATTATGTAGAAAATCACTTTTAAAATAAGATCAAGAACATTAAAACCAGTTCATTATTTTAGTAGTAGTTCAAATTTTATTTAAACATTAAGGATGATATTTTTTGGAGATATTTGATTCAAATTTTCACAAAATATGGAATATGGGAAAAAATGAAATGAATTCTAGGATAACAGTATGGTATAATTAAGAATTATAGTAAACTATACCTTCATTTCCTTTTGCGAAGAATCCTTTCCCTTCTGTGAGGAACTTTTTTGTTTCTGAGAAGAGCTACTAGTAGTAGAGCATTTACTTTCTCGCATTTTCAAAGTTAGAACTATCAATCTTTTTTTATTATTCTTTATTTGTTCTTCTATATCATTAATATTACCTGCAGATACATTGAAATAACTATTAGAAACTTACTATTTTATTATACATAATACTAAAAATGTAAAAATTTTTTATTCAATCATGCACTTTTGTATGTCACACTTGTGATGAACTATAAAGGACCCGCGTGGAAATTGTAAGTATGGGTCAAATATGGGTAAACTATGGATCAAAATTTCATTAAGTTTTGGCCCACGGTTGAACCCATTGCATGGGCGAAGTATGGGATTTGTCCAAATCCCATACTTTAACCATGGGATTTAAGACTTGTAAAATTTTCTGGAAAAATCACTGTTAGAATATGTATTAGGTAAAAGTTTTTATAATTTCGCAACAATAAGGCAACACGATTTTCCTCTAGAAGTTTATTAAATTGTTATAACTTAACTTATATATATATATATATATATTATAACGAAATTATTGAATTAATTTAATGTATTAATTAACAACCCCTTTTTAAGTTACAAAAGAAAACCCAACGTGATAATTGTTAGACGCCAGCCAATTTTTGAATGGAATTGGCAAACCAGAAAAAATCACGAAATAACCCCAAAACTCAAAATCAATCAATAATCTCTCAGAGGAGATTCTGTTAAGAACAAAAGTCGCTAAAAGGGACACGACCCTTGAGACACGACACAACCAAAATTGGACTTACCCACGACGACAAAATCAGCACACAGCTTCCTCACGGCAGGTCCTCGTGGTCGATGAAAACTCGCCGGTGTCGAGAAAAAGGGCTGATAAATAAATACACAAATTAACACTTCTTTTCTATTCTTCACAACTCTTTATTATCATCAAGTCGAACTCCGCTTCAACTTCTCTCTCTCTACACAACTCAATACACTCTCAAAAAAACTCGAACAAAAACGAAGACCACAGTACCTCTGTACGCGTCCATTGACAAAATCTATTGATTCTCCTCTCTCGATCCCTTCGTCTCCGTCTAGTTCCGTAGGTGGCCGCCGCGATGGCGCCACGTCCCGGACGCCTGCTCTGCCTCATCCCTCAAACCCCATTACGCGCGAAACTCATCCCCAGTCAAACTTACATTGTGATGAATTTACTTCGTCACAATATAAATTATTATAAGAATATTTTATTGTAAATTTGAAAGAAATATTTTTTTATGATATCAAAGAAAATTCATGTCTTTAATGTTTCATAATTAATTTATATTTTTAAATTAATAAATACATAGATATTGTTAATAAATTATTATTACTTTTTTAATTGGACTTAGTTAGGTGGCGTGTCTGTGAATTGTACAAAAATTGCATTTCATAGACCAAAAAAGTGTTTTTACTGAAAAAGTGTGTGTGAATTCCTTTTTAAAAAAAGATTATAGGAAAAGGTGAAAACAGAGGAAACTTAGCAAAAATTGTGTAGCTTGAGAAAATAGTATTAATGTTTTAATTTCTTTAATTGAAGATTGTCTTCGACATTTTTTGATAAAAGCTTTCGTTTTGCTCCCTTTATTTCACTTCCTTTACTCTTCTTATTTTCTTTAATCTTCTCATTTTCTCTACTCTTATCTTTTCCTTTACTTTTCTCATTCTCTTTACTCTTATCATTTTCTTTTCTCTTATCATTTTCTTTGCTTTTTCCTTTTCTTTACTCTTGTCACTTTCCTTACTCTTATCTTTTTCTTTACTCTTCTCATTTTCTTTGCTCTTTTCATTCTCTCTACTCTTCTCATTTTCTTTGTTTTCTTCATTTTCTTTACTTTTATATTTTCCTTTACTTTTCTCATTTTCTTTACTCTTCTCATTTTCTTTACTCTTCTCATTTTCTTTGCTCTTTACATTTTCTTCACTCTTCTCATTTTCTTTGCTCTTTACATTTTCTTTACTCTTCTCATTTTCTTTACTCTTATCTTTTTCTTTACTCTTATATTTTTCTTTACTCTTCTCATTTTGTGTAATTGCTAGAGCAATATAAAAATCTAAGTAAAATATGATGGATTGTTCTACTCACACAAGATTCTGCTGGATTTTTTTGCTCAAGTGCTTGCCTTCCACAAATCGACAATTTTTCAAGAAAGACCACCATTTCCGGCATTACTGATTATAAATAAAATATAATTAGTTAGGAAAATTTAATTGGTACGAGCACATTTTTTATTTAAATTCGTAAATATCTATTAATTTAATTTTATTACTATTCGTAAAAATGTCCTCCAGTTGATGAATGAAGCTACTCTGTACAGAATTTTGGTGTTTTTTTCCTATATTATCGACAATCTTATCTTCGACATCCGAAGTATGACAGCTTTTATTATCTATTAATTTAAATATGTACATTAGAATGATCAGAATTTTTAATTTTTAATTTCAAAGCTTAATGAGCTTTTTCTGCTTTTGATTTAATTTTCAATTTGTTGTTGACACGTTTTTTATCATTAATAATTATCTCCCCGTTTTTATTCATATTTTTACTTAATTTTTCTAGGTATTGCTTTGATTCTAAAAAAAATTTAATTTAAATAATTTTAATATTAATTTTAACTTAATGTATTTTTAAAAAGTTTTCTACTTTCGTATTTAATAATTATATACCACTTCGTTGAATTAATGTTCCTTTGAATAAACCTTTCTTTGGATATTCTATTTCAACCTCATCTCCATCGTTAAATTTCTTTAAATGTTCAAGTTCTTGCATGATTGTAACTCTATTAGGTTTTTCATTCCATTGAATTAACACGAACATTTTTTTATTTGAATTTGACAACCTTTCAATCTCTGATTTCACTGGCACAAAAAAAAATTGATGCTCTGAGCTTTTGACCACACTATGACTACTTTATGTTTTCGGGGTCAAATTTTGGTCTTTTTTGTAGTTTTTTCAAAACCGTAGGGTGATGGGGTTAAACAGACTTCAGATTCAGTTTCAGCGACCCCAAAAACATAAAGTAATCATGGTCAATCTTATAGATCAGAATATTTCTTGTTTTTCAAAATTTTGAGTTCGAATTTTGAGGTTTTTTGGGGGTTATTTCAAAACCCTAGGGTGATGGGGTTAAACAGACTTCAGATTCGGTTTCAGCGACCCCGAAAACATAAAGTAGTCATAGTCTGGTCAAAAGCTCAGAGCATCAATTTTTTTTGTGTGCCAGTGTTTTTAATAAATTTTTATCGACTGTATAGTTTCCATGGTAACATTACGTTATTGTTTTTAATTTACACGCAGCTTCAAATCATTAAAATGTAGTGACATTTTGTTACGTGTCAAAACAAAATTCGATGAAAAAAATTTTATTTTTGTAGAATATTAAATTAAAAACATAATGCGAAGAATAAAAAATTTCGCTTTATATAGTAGAAGAACCGAAAATCGAATTGCCAAGGAATCGGCAGAAGACTCCTCTAATACAGACATTTCTGATTCAGTAAGTTATTTTACAAAATTTTAGTATTAAATCTTTTATAGTTTAAAAATATATCAGCTTAAAATTTTTAAAAATCTAATCAGTAAAGTTATAATATCACTTGAAAAATTTTTTAAAAATTTCAAAAAATTATAATTAACTTTGACTACATATTACATAACTATTGTGGTAAATATTAAAACCATAAAACCTTAAATTTGTATAATTAGGATGATAGTGAAATTATTCAGGGCAATAATGCAATTGCTGCCAACCAAATAAATTTAAGTAATGAGGATTATGATGCAGATGTTGATAGGAATGAGGACCAAAATAGAATTGACAATGAACTGACAGAATATTCCTCTGATACAGATATTTCTGCCTCGGTACGTTATTTTTCAAAATTTGTTTCATATTTTTTATAGCTTAACAATAATAAAAAGATTGAAATTTGTAATATATTCTAATCAGTATATTTATGTCATCAATGTAGAAATATTGTATTTATTTTATTAATTTAGAGTAAAATTAACTTTGAATAAATATTTCATATTTATTAAAGTAGTTTTAAAGTTTCAAAATAAATATATAAAATTTATAAATATAATAAATATATAATAAATTAAATAAATAAAAAATAAATAAATAGTTTTAAAATAAACTACAATCGTTAATTTTTATAATTAGAGTGATGTTGAAAGCATTCATAGCAATGATGTTTCAGTTAACAAAGGCAATATTAGAAGAGATAACATAGATTTAACTGATGAAGATGATGATACAAATGTTGATAGCAATGAGGACCAAATGTCTGATGAGGGTAAAATATAATAAACCCTGATTTTCAGTTACTTTCTTCTCACGATTTTAATCATCAGTAAAATTTTATTGAAAATGAGTAAAAAATAACTGAATTTGCAGTAATTTTTCATTAATTGACTGGTGAAAAACAACTGATAATTTCAATACCATATTAATTTCTTTTTCACAGGTTAATCAATGAAAAATAACTGAAAATTTGATTATTTTTTGCTGCTTTCAGGCCTCGAATCGAGTACGTAAATTAAGGAAAAGTAGGGAATTTTTAAATGAGTACGTAAATGTTCATAATTTTGAAAAAAGTCAAAATATGGAGTTAATTTTTTCATTCTTTTTAACACAAATTTTTTCAACAGATAAAAATGTATTATAGGCCTCGGATTATAAGACTATAGTTTTTGAAAATAAATTAACTTAAAAATTATTCAAAAATTAACCTTAGATAAGTATTTCTTTTAAATGTTTAATCGACTTAATTTTTAATTCCGACAAATTTTAATCCTCATAATTTTCAATTTATTTACATTTTAATCGGTCCAAATTTCAATTTACCCCATTTTTAATCGACTTAATTTTCAATGCACATTTTAATCGATACAAATTTCAAATAAATTTGACACACTTTGTATCGATTTAATTTTCAATTTATCTAAATTTTAATCGATTCAAATTTCAATTTACCCCATTTTTAATCGACATAATTTTCAATTTATCTAAATTTGAAGAGACTTAATTTTTAATTTATCGGAATTTTAAGTGATTTAAATTTAAATTTATCCAAAATTTAATCGACTTAATTTTGAATGTATTAAAAATTTAATCGATTCACATTCAATCAAGCCAAATTTAAATTTATCTCATTTTAATGGACTTAATTATAAATTCAAATCTTGAAAATTTTCCTAATTCAACAATTCTTAAAATTGATAAAAATTTTTCAAGAATTAACCTTAGATAAATTTTTTCAAGATATGACTTTGAAAGTTCTTGACGATTTGAACATAAAAATTTCACCTAAAATCTGCTAAAACTAAAATATTTATTATTAACTAAAATATTTTTTAAAAATCTGAAAATTTTGAAAATTGTTCTGAGTTTATTTTTGAAATATTCTAAAAAAAATTTTTAAAAAATACTTATTGACCAATTTAATTTATTAGGAATTTAAAAAATCGACATATTGAGACTTTATTCTAATGTAAAACAACTTTTTTATGCCTGAAAATTGATCCGAAGCCTATATGCTCAAAACCTTTTTTAAAAATTACCTTTTTCATTTTACCATTTTATGAAATTATTAATTTAATTTTTATTATTGACTTAAATTTTTTGCAATTATTAATTATCATTAAGTCTCATTATCTTTTCCCTCCCTCATACTTTTTTAATGATAAGAAGAGAGAGAGAAAGACCCCATTATATTACACAAAAATATGTCATGTTTATAAAGGTTGATACAGAAAATGTTAATTTAATTTTTAAAATATTTACTAAATCAACAAAAAAATATTAATTTGAAGTTAACGTCATTGCTTTTGAGTATATTTTTTTACTAATATATTTAGAAACAACACTTTGAATAAGTTAGAAATTTTGATTCGTAAATTATTCACTAATTTTTTTTAGTACGTAAAGTATATAATTTTTAATATCAAAGGCGCTTCGGAGGCCTGTAATTGTCAATAATATTTCACTTATTGAAATCGTGAAAAGAGAGTCACTAAAAAACCAATGAATTTCCAGTGATTCAGGTTTAGATAATAATTTCTTTTATCTGAAAATTAATAAACGTTTTTGAATATTACCTAAACCTTCATTTTATTATTTTAGAATTTGAAGATGCAGAAGCAGACGTCGATGTTGCTTCACAAATAGACGAAAATAATGCCAGTTACCATTCTACTAGTAGCAGTAACTCTCATATTGATTCTGATGATAGCGTTGCTTCTTCTATTGCTAGTTTTGATACTAATAATTTTGAATCTAATGCTGATAGTATTTATTCAGATGCTGATGATAATTTTTCTGATGCTGATAGTATTTTTTCTAATGCTGATAGTGATTAGTAGATATACAGGGGGAGTTCTGGATACAAGATTCGAGTTTTAGGTGTATCCAAAATTCCCCTTGTATATATGTGACTACGTCATGCATTGTTGCGAGTTAGGAATGTTTAATTACTTATTAAGAATATAATTGCGTCATCTATTTGTTTTAAAAAATAAGTTATCTAAAAAATTCATCTTGCACATCTATATTTTTGCAAGTTTGACATGTTAGGAATTTAGTTGCGTAAGAGTGCAGTAAATAAAAAAAGATGTAGTATAAACATTTTTTTCCAAGGTGCATTTCTTTCTATAATAAATAATACTCTTCGGTCTTTAGATAATAAAAATTGTAATTCTATACGTTTGAAATAAATCCCTTTAGTTGATAAGATATAAACATTTGATAATTTTTGCAATTTGATAGTTTTGTTTATTGCAAATGGTATGTCAAATTTGTTATTGATAAAGGATATTATCATTACAAAGGAATTTTTATTATTAAATTGAGTGGTATATAAGGGATGTCAAGTTCAGTGCTGTTCATTAGTTTACTCTAAGCCTCAAGGGTATACAGACTAAATGAGTGGTCACAATCAACGAAAAAGTTTTCAACAAAACTTGAATAAATCAATTCAAGATTCTAGAACTTTTAAAGATTTATCAAGAAGTTTTGAAAAATTAAGTCTTAGAGAACAACCTCGTTCTGATTGCAAAAATTATAGTGATTTAACAAAAAAAATTGAAAAACTAAAAATTTAATAAAAAAATGAATTTTCAAAAGCTGAACCAGGCTGGAAAGGGAAACAATTACCTTGAAAAGAAGAAATTAAGTGAGCTGGAAGTGAATGAAACTTATCTTATTTCTGATCTTCACCTCGTAAAAACCAGATTTGGTTCTCGAATTGTCGTGGACATTGAAAAAAATTTTGCTGTGTTTTTACCCAAAAGGATTTTCGACGTTATTAATGAGGATGAACATCTGTTTTCACATTTAAAAGCGTTGGCTGCAAACGATCAATTGGGACTTAAATATCTTGGTGGAACTTACAATCATATTGAGTTTATTGAATTGTAAAAATCATCAATGTCATATATACCAAGAAATCAAATGTTTCTTTCTAGCACATTTAATTTAAACTCTTCGTTCACAAAACAAATTGCAATAGGTTTGCAATTTAAAAGTAATGGAGAATTGTGCAGTGTTTTAAAGTTTATGTCAAGCCATCCACGAAGTGATATTTTATTCAATTTTCAAGACTGGATTTGTTTCACATGTCATATGAAAACTATTTCATCTTATTTCGATGGAAATGCAACACCAATGGAAACTATTAAATTTGGAAATTTTCAAATCCGTTTTGGAGTTTTTCTGGGAGAAAATACAGTTACCCTGGAGGATAAAAGAAATGGAAAATTGTGTTATCCGTTTATCATGAAGAAAACATCATTTAAAATTTTGGAAAAACTTATTCCTTGTTTTGATGAGCGATTCAATTATTTATCTTCAGTACGTTTGAAAAAAATGTACGGCTTAATTGTGAAATCTCTTGCTGAAATTTTGTGGTATAAAAATCTTTTGAGTGAAAAAGAAATCCAAATTTTTATTGAAAAAAATTATAAAATGTTAATAAAAAAACTTGAAAGAAAAATTGATCCTACATCAAATTTAGAATTTAAGATATTATTTGCTGATATTCTTAATTATAATTTAAAACATTTATCAAAAGAAATTTTTGAATTGATTCCTAAAATTAGTAGTATTGGAATTAATTTAATGTAAACAACTGGTATAAATAAATAAACATGTTTTATTGAAAATTAAATTTATTACACTTCTGATTTATTTATCCAACTATTATGTGTACTGTCAAAACCTAACCATTTTACAAGTACTTTAGATCCTTGCTTTTTAAGTATTTTTTCAATTAAATAAGCATCAGGGTATTTAACTTTAGAAAGTTCTTGCTCGTAAAAGGATCCAGAGATTAAATTTTCCTGATAATCTTTTAAAAGATAAGTTGGTGGATTTGTATTTTTTACACAACTTACAGTAAATATTTCTGTAGTCCAATTTGGAGTATAGCCTTTTTCAAAAATATGTTTATATTTACTTATGCGCACTTTATCTCCAATTTTAAATTTTCTTTTTGGTCTATTTAGAATACAATTTTTTTTAAATACATTTAATAATAAATATCTCGCATTTTGATTATTTACATCTTTTGGTTTCATTTTAATAGTTCGATGTTTAGTATTATTATATAAATTTATTAAGTCACTTAAAATGTCGATCCACTTAAAATTGCCATGTAAACTAAATTTCATCCACATTTTATTTTTTAGAGTACGATTAAAACGTTCACAAATTGATGCTTTTAAATCACTAAAAGTAGAATACATATTAATTTTATAAAATGACATAAGATTTTTAAAATGAGAATTATAAAATTCTTTTCCATTATCCACTTGTAAATTTTTTGGTACGCGTCCTTTGGTCAAAACGGATTTTATTGCTGAAGTTACATCTTCCCCCTTTTTGGACTTGACGGGAACAGCCCAGGCAAACTTGGAAAATACATCGATGACGGTTAACAAGTACTTGTAGCCTTTATTTTCTCGCGCATAGCGTTGCATTTCAACGAGATCAGCTTGCCAAGTCTCGTCAATACCTCGAATGTCAACATTTCTTCGTTTATAATTTCTTCTAGCTGGTTTGTGTAACTCTTTCACCACCTGAAGTTCTTTATTTTCCATTTTCACAAAGGTTGATTGTCTTCAAGTGCTTTCAGTCTGCTATCCAGTCGAGAAATGGTCTCTTTCATAGACAATAACTCTATATTTCTTTCAATATGCGATTTAAGGTTTTCAAAAAATCTTGTGGCAGTATCCTCCAATGTAGAAATTCTAATATTGTAATCGGTTTTTAATACTTCTATCACATCATAGATGGCGTTTGCCGTAGTTTCAATAATTTTTTTAACAAGCTTTAAATTTACTGCATCATTTTCGCTTTCAGCATTGGCAATATTGCATAATTTTTTATTTTCCATATTAAAATGTCCATCAGATGTAAATTTAAAACCGAGTCCCGGAGGCCCGCGATTTGAGGTCCCCGCGCTCTTTAACTGACGTCCGAATATGTCGATACTCATGTTGCAAATAAAGTTGAAATTTATAAAACTTGGTTAATAAATAATATTTGCTTCACGTAATTCTTCAATTATAGAAATAATTTCATTATTATGGCTGGGGTTTCCAGCGGCTTGAGACGCTAAAAGTAATCGTAAACGTTCTACTAATTCGTTTGGATCATCCCAATAAATATAATCAATATTTGTATTTTCTTGATTGATCATATACTGTGGTATTATACCTTTTCCTTGTCTCTTTTTTTCAGATTTTGGAGATAAAATTTTTTTTGCAATAAAATTTTGAAATTTTAAACTTTTATTTTCACGAATATTTTCATCTGATTTATAATACTTTTTGTGAGCATTAGTTGAAATAATGATATTTCCATAATTTTCACGATCGTCAAAGCTTATAAAATTTTCTTGGGGTGTTTTTTTAAATAAAAGTTCTAGTAAACCCTTTGTTGCATGATAAACTGAATTGTTTATAATGATTTTATTTTCTTCAAAATGTATTGGTGAATCACCAATCATTACCCTTCCTTTGGCTAATTTTCGGACCCCATATATATTGTCCAGATCCTTTTTCTTTTTATCCAATAATTGTAAATAATCATTCATCATATTTGCCTCCATATTTGTTGATGAATTTAGCGTTATTAAATCATCTTGTGCAATACTGTCATCTAAAGATGCAGTTTTGAATGACATTTCATCATCTTGCTCATTTTTTAATTGCGAACTTGCGTAAAAATTATTAAAACCAGGATCCATAATATCCTCTTGTTTAATATCTTGTTCATTTTTAATTTCTATTTTCTGTGGATGAATATGTTTAACGATTTGAAATTCATCAGCTAATTTTAGAATTGGAGTGACTATTGGTTTAAAAGTAGTATTTAAAGATTGTTTAATTTCTTCTTTGCCTAACTTCATTAATCGATGTTTTCGTCGAATTGCTTCACTTGCTTTAGCAATTTCACCCAGAATATTTTTTTGTTTTTGCAAATTTTTTAACTGTGAAGAAGGCATGTTGTTCTTTCAAAGTATAAAAAGATACTGCCATTTAATTATATTAGTCCTCTAATTTTATAAAACAATCAAAACACTTTCTATATCTACCGTGATTAATTTCACAGTCTTTATCAATTACTAAAAAATCATGATTATTTTTCCAACAGGAATTACAAATTTCTTTAAATTTCGTAAACGGCATATCCGTATTTACATGATCATCATATATATGTCTAAGGTTCATTTCATCTTGCCTAAATAAGACTAATAGATTTACATTATCTCGAATCAAATGCTTTGGAATGCGAGCATACGTCTGGCACAAGTAAAAACAGTCAACCGCCTTGTGTCGACCCATAGCAAAGTACGCTTTAATGTTATCCTGCTTTTCACACGCGACATCATCGAATATAAATATTGAGTTAGGTCGTGCTTCATTGGGAGCCACAACATTTGCATGCTCATTAAATGGAAAATATTCAACGCCATCTATTGGTTGTAAAACATTTTCTAAAAATTTATATTTTGGTTGATTTAAAGATTTTGAAAAAACATAAAGATTTTCAAATCTTAGTCCATTTGGATGAATTAAAAGTGCAAGTAAAGCATTTGTTTTCCCACAATTAGAAGGACCGCAAAATATTGCTCGCACACTACTTGGTAATAAATTACCATGACGGTTTTTTTTGTCACTTTTTTGTATAACCGTATCAAAATTAATGACCGGTAATTTTACAGGTTGTGTTTCAAACTCCATCTTAATTCAAACTAAATAAAAATCTATAAATATGTCACTTATATAGAAAATTTAATTAGTCTACTTTTAACTGTCTTAAGAATATGATTGTGCATTCAGATAAGAAACAAGTCAGT